GGGGGTTAATGTCCCGGAACCCCCTGCCTCGCCAGCCGAATCAGCCTCCTACACCCGCTCACAATCACCTGATTACTGATCACGCTGGTCTCAAGGTTACAAGCTTCTCTCTATGGGTTCTTTGCCTCCCGATCTGCCTGTCAAGCCTCGGATTCCTCAGTTCTCGGCCGGAGGACCAAAGTGCCGACCCCAGATAAGACTGTGTTCTCTGCTTCCATTAATTCCTAAGTTTGATTCTTTTTCTGTTGGAAGCTGCTCCTCAGTTCCTTTGAATAAACTCCCAGACTTACGTTAACCTGTCTGTTTGCCTCTTTGTCCCGGATGTGACAACATCACAACCCATTTGGAGAAACCCTTTCTGATTTATGGGGAAAATAAAAAAGGAATGGATGGATTTTTATTATTTCCTAAGTTCCTTTTAAATAAACTCCCCGACTTAACGTTAACCTGTCTGTTTGCCTCTTTGTCCCGGTTGTGACAATATTATCTATACTTATTACCTAAAAAAAGAGCAACAATGAATGAGTTCATTGGCTAAAATACATCTCTTTTATGATGGACATGATTTTAGTATCTGAATTAAAGTTTATTTGGGTGGCATACATTGAAAATGTCAGGGTGACAGAACTGTCATGAGGGTCTACAGCATTTACAGAAATTACATTTTTATATAATTAAATATGAACTTTTCTTGCAAATGTTATAATGTATACGTTTTTCAAAACCATATGAAACTCAACATGAATACAAAGAGAACTTTTCTAAGAACTTTGAACACGTGTTTTAAGCTAGATGTTTAAAGGATCCTTCCTGTTCTTCATTGTGGACACAGAATTTGTCATTGACCAATGAATGTTACTCACCGGCCCATGATGAAGTGAGGTAAAGCCATTAATAGAGTCCCTATCCCCATCAACAGGACCCCTGATCCAATGATCTTGGGCCTGTTAAACTTAGCGACAAAGTAGCTAACAACAGTAATGACCAACAGATTACCTGCAAGCAAAAGTTACGTTATTTAACAAGTTTCATGTTTTCACAGCATACCATCAAGTGTCCCATTTTTAAAGTATGAACAGCCATTCCATCACATTAAAACATCAATGGTGTGACTCACTGGTATAAGTGCTAATCTAATGGCTGAACCCCGTCACTCATTTCTCAGTGCAGTTCAACACATCTCTATTTACCCATTTCAAAGCTGCCATCGATGATACCAACTGTGGAGCTTGGGATCTCAAACCGCCTCTCAATCTGAGTGATGGTGCTTTTGGTGTAAGCCCCCATCAGGGATTTTGTAAAATAACAGACGGCAAGTAAACCAATAAAGATCTTTGCAGACACAAGGGCAGAAGAGAGATTAAGTCAGTATATTATAGTTTTGTTGTTGTTGTAGTTGTTTTTAATTCAGAATTTATCATATTTTATGTCAGAAATATTCAGCTATAGCCATTCCACCATTAAAACAAATTATCAGCTAATAGTAATTCAGTTAAACTTAGATTGTGGCATATTGTCAAAGTGTCTCTTGCCTTCAGAGTTGGTGAACAGCATTTGGCTTGTGGTGTTGTCTGATTCCGGCCTGAATACTCCATTGGTCTGGGCTCAATTAACCTGTCTGGGCTGCCCTCCACTGTCATGATGAACTACGTGCCAGGGAAGAGATGGGAAATTTTGAAATCACGAACGATTTTGTTCCTGTGCTGAACTGCCTTGATGTCTAATATATTTGGGTCCAGAATCAAATCTATAAAAAAAATATATTATACTGATTATGAATTTATGAATAAAGCAAAAAAAAAAAAAAAATCTATTCACTTCTATCATGTCAGAGATGGTCCAATTCACAATACATTGTAATCAAATGCAAATAAACATTAAAATATCATTATTTAACAATATAAAAACACTCACAGGTCCAGAGGTGTCTTCACATAGGAAGGATGCACTAATATGCAGAAATATCCCCAAACGAGTCTTTATATTTACCTTTATATTTAGTCATTAACTAACACTGAGTAATCCTTCAACACTATTGAAGATCAACCAGTACAGTACAGTTTGTAATGTGTCCATTTTTTATGAGTGTTTATATGGCAAAACTTATCAAACACTAGAAATTTCAAAACAGAGAGAAAATTAAAATAAGATGAGCCATTAACAGCATTTAACAAAGACCAACCAACAAGAACACAAAGTGACACCAACCAGCACATATCTGCTTATTTATGGTGCAATATGTGTGCTTGCAGTCTATCTGTTTTTTAGAAGTGATGTGTGTGCATTCACATGTGCCTTCTTAGCCTTATAGGAAACTTGTCGTCAATTTGCAGTTAATATATGATAAATGTTGGCAAAGAAATCACTTTCTTACAAATAACTGCCACAGGTTTGCAACGCTTCACTGGTGAACCAGCAGCAAACCTTTATCAATAATAGACAGTGTGCTGAACCTGGAAGACCTGACCGTTTTTTATCTTTATTGGCAACTCTTTCCCACAGCTTATTATGTAAGCATGTTTTGTTCATTTGTGACCTTACTGTTGTTAAACTATTGCCATTTTTTAAAATAAATTAATTCCCGTTTTAGATAAATGTTCTACATAAAGGGAAATACATTACTACATAAGAGGAACAATATTGTTGGAATCACTTTCAGAGAGATGTTTATATTGATACATGTACAATTACCTCAAAATGCAATAAATGACACACCCACATCTCTGAGGTTGATGAAGATAAGATAAGAATTATTAATCAATTGAATAATTCAAGGGCTAAGGATATATTTGGAATGGATACTGCATTCGTAAAAAAATATATAGTGCTTGTTTGCTAAAGCCCTTCGTAAATTTGATAAATGTATCTATTAGAGAAAGTAAATTCCCCTCAAATTGGAAAACTTTTATTAAAACCCCAATTTCTAAGGCAGGATCAGTTGATGAGGTTCAGAATTATAAACCAATTTCTATACCCCGTGCAATCTCTCAAATTTTGGAAAAGTTGGTAGCTAAACAACTTATCAACTATCTAGAAAAACATTATCTACTTCACTCTAAACAGTTTGGCTTTAGGCCTAAGTATTCGACAGAAATGGCAAACTGCTTTCTCACAGAATTTATTGAGGGAGCTTTAGATAATGACAATGTAGTAGGCGCAGTGTTTTTAGATCTCAAAAAGGCATTTGATACAGTGAATCCTGAAATTCTCCTACATAAATTAAATTTGTTTAGCTTCTCTCAGCAGGCAATAAATTGGTTTAGATCATATTTAGAATCTCGAGATCAGTGTGTTAAAATAAATAATTCAAGATCAGCTTTACGAAACAATGAGATGGGTCTCCCTCAAGGGTCAATTTTGGGTCCATTGTTGTTTTCCTTATATGTCAATGATTTACAAATTGTTGTAAGCAAACTAAATGTCAGTTATATGCAGATGATACAGTCATTTGTTAAATTTGGGTCCATTTGTTGTTTTCCTTATATGTCAATGATTTACAAATTGTTGTAAGCAAACTAAATGTCAGTTATATGCAGATGATACAGTCATTTGTTAATATATCTGCAGCTAAGCGTGGAGTCTGTGCCGATACATAAATGACTGTGTCATCTGTCACAGTCATTTGAAAATTGATGTGCATTTAAAGAGGCTGTGTAGAACAATCAGAACAAACTTGAATTGTTTTTACATGATTAGACCGTATATATCTCTAAAAGCAGCTAAGTTATACATGCATGCAATGGTATTTTTGCATTTAACTTATTGTGTGACTGTCTGGAGTCAGGTTTCTCAACTGACTATCAAACCTGTTAGATCTTTATATAAACAAACACTAAAAACTTTGGACAAGAAACCAAATAGATGGCATCATTGTAATATTTTACAAAAACATAGTTTGCATAGTTTTGAAAATTGTATTAATTTGTCTCTTATTAAAATGTTTTTTAAATGTGTAAATAATCTTGCTCCAGAAATTATATGCCAATTAATATCAAAACAGAGTAGTAAGGGGATCACTACAAGAGGTGCAACTAATCAGAATTGCACAGTAAAGAGAAAAACTAAATTTGCCCAATCCACATTTTCAGTTCAAGGTACACTGCTTTGGAACAGCCTGCCAGCTGAACTGAAAATGCAAACAGAGTTGAACATTTTTCAAAGAAATTTAAAAACGTGGTTCAAACAAAAGCAGGTTTGTGAACACTGATGGTCGTACACAGTCTTAATTTTTTTTTTTTT